CAGCAACCAGACCCACCAGACCCATCTCCAGCTGCATGCTGGACACATTGCTGTTGCTATCAGTGAATAAGGAAGCTTCTCGGGCAACAGCAGACTGTAATCATTGTCCATTGCTTAGGTATTACAGCATTTGGAGTGTCTCTGTCACCTTCAAATCAAAATGCCACTGGTGTAATAACAGCTTGATCGGTTCCTGGGCTCTGTGTGCCAAGCTACGCCACTTCATGGTGCTGAGATAAACAAACTAGGTTCCCCAAAACAAGACATCTGGTCGAAGCAACCTGGCCCAGGAGTACTGTCCAAAGATTCCCCACAGGGCAGATACAGACGTATCACCCATCTCAGGGTTGGTGAGTGCCATTAACATTACACTCTTGCTCCATTACACAAGGCAGCTCTGCTAAAAATGGGCGTTACGGATCTGGGTAACTGAGACCAGAGTTGCATCCAGAACAACCCATCCCTTCACAAACCTGAATCGCCTTTTAAGATTTCTTTTCATCAGCTGAGTCCTAACGTCTTGCTCTGGGTCCAGAATAAACTGTAAATCACAGCTGGGTTTAAAATGAAGACAAAATTAAGGAAGGAAATGTAGTGATATAATTTATTACAGAAGTGCCTTAGGACCAACAAAAAAGGACCTTGTAATAGTGATACCTGCAAACTAAGATTGTTAGAAAATGGATATTTGTGGAATAGAATTATTAAAATCAATTTAAGATGCTTTAATCATTTAACAATTGTGCTGCAGGACAAATACTAATCTTTTGAGGAACAGCTGGAATAACTGTAGGATGAGGAACTCAACTCATAAATAATCTTACTGGAGATGGTTTGGCCTTGTAGTAGCAGGTGCAAAGAAACATAAAAAAGCTGCAAATTAGCAATAAAACCAGACCAGGCCAGCCTGGAAGGACAAGATATACGTGACCACAGGACTGAGTTGGCGCAGAAGTAAGGGTCAACTGGCAGACACAGTGAAGAAGATTAGGAGCCTTCATCTGAAGACCCCCGACGACCACCTGAAGACTCCAATGGACATGTGCAAGAAACATTAACATATGCTAAATGAGTTCCTGGAAAAGTTATGAATATGGTAAAAATTCAATGAATATGTATGATTAAGGTAGTATAAATGCTTGTTGATTTCATTCTCACACACACACATTAGGAGGAGCTCTCCCCTGTGTGTCTGGCACTGTAATAAAGAATGCCTGCTTTCTAGAACTCCAAAATTGAGTCTTAGAGAGTGAATTCATTACCAGTTTCTGGTAACAATGGCAGGTACTGCACAACAGAGTTTTGGTTGACTGTAGCCTTAAAAGCAAAGTCACTTTATTCTGGATTAAAGAAAAACATCTGAAAAGAAAAAGCACAAAAATAAATAGCACCAGCGGATGTAAAATCCAATGCCTTGCTTCTGCCGTGCAAAGCTGTAGCTGCCCTGAAGGCACCTGGAATTTTCAAGCTGCTGATCCTAGGTAAATAAATCCTCCTCTGTAATTTTTCTCATAAGTTTATTTTCTGACAATAGTTAACAGTGCATTAAATGACTCTCTCAAAAAAAACCCCACAAACTGTTCTTTTTTACAGTATGCCTTTTTATTAGCTTTTTGGTGGGGGAAAGACAGGACCGTTCACTCACAGGCTCACTTCCCAGTTCACCTTTGCTACTGAACAGAAATCTTTTGCCTGGTTTATTGGAGCTAGGGCCAGGCTTCTGGGCAGCACGTAACCTGCCTTCATGCCATGTCTCTGCTGTACCTGCAGGGTCACTGGCTGTAATAGAGCAGATAAATCCTTGTTCCTCTCAAACCGTTTGGGGTTTGGGTTGCAAAAGGCTGCTGCAGTACCTTTTCGGTGAGGGCGAGGGGAGAGAGGGAGAAGAGAGCTAGTGAACTGCTCAGCTACTTGTGCAGAGCTGCAAGGCAGAGAAGTGAAACCAAAGTCTTGAGAGATGTGCAGCAAGCTTTTCTGAACACTCAACAGCTGTGGAAGTTCCCCGCTGCCAAGGTCAGGCATGTTCAGGCCCAGTACTGTGGTTTTGTTCTGGGAAGAAAGAACTAAAAAAGGTAAGGGCCTTGCATTTTACCCTCACTGTAAGCAAAACCCAGTGCCACAGTGATTAAGGCCTGAAGCAAACTCTCCCTTTGTCGTGGTTTGGGCCTGGTTGGCAGCCAACCACCACGCAGCAGCTCTCTCTCCCTTCCCCTCCGGCAATGAGAAGGGACAGAGAGCCAGGCTTGGGGTTCGAGATAGGACTGGGGTGGGGAAAAATTCCCCTTTATGATCACGAGCAAAAGGCAGACTTGTTAGGGGAAGAAAAAAAAGAACATACATTTATTACAGACACTAACAACACCTAACAGAGTAGGACAGTGAGAAGCATTGCCACATCTTGAGAACACCTTCCCCCCACCCCTCCCTTCTTCCCGGGCTCAGCTCTGCTCCCGATATCTCTACCTCCTCCCCCAGGGGCGCAGGGGCAGGGAATGGGGGGTGCAGTCAGTGCTGCCACTTTCTTCATCTTTGGTGAGGGGAGTGTCCAAAACTTGTTCCCCCTGCTCCATCGTGGTCCCCCTCTCACAGGAGACAGTCCTCCACAAACTTTCTCCGACTTGAATTCCTCCCATGGGCCGCAGCATTCCCCACACCGCTCCGTCATGGGTCACTAACTTCCTCCGACTGGATTCCCTCCCACAGCTGCAGCCCTTCCCGAGCTGCTCCAGCGTGGGACCCCCCGCATGCTGCAATCCTCCCAGCGCTGAATTACAGCAGCGGGGGCTGCCTTTTCCCACGAGACCCCGGCCTTCTTCGGGCACAGCACCTTGATAATCCAAGCAGGAGCAACAAGCCACAAATCAGTGTCTACTCCACCGTAGATCTTCATGGGTGGCGGGGGGGGGCCGCCCTGCCGTCTCCCCACAGGATACAGGGGGGTCTCTGCTCCGGCACACCTCCCCCCTCCTTTCTTCCTCCGTTCCTCCACTGACCTTGGTGTTCAAGTAGCTGCAGCAACTCCTCCTCACAAGTCCCACTGCTCCTCACCACATCCCTTCTTAAATACGTTATCGCAGAGGCGCAGCTGATGGGCTCAATTTCCCAAACAGAAGTGGAGCTGACTTGGAGCTGGGGGAGCTTCGAGAAGCTTCTCACAGGGGGCCGCCCCGATAGCCCCCTCCCCTGCCACCAAAAAAACCCTCCACCATTCACTCAACCCAGGACACCCTTAAAAATAGGAATGATCCCAAAGAAAATCCAGTGTAGTGAGATGCTGAACACAATTTGTTTGTATCCTGCCTCTTCCCCTCGTCTGCTTCTCCCATTCGCCAGAGGTAGGCAGGTGGGACGCACACAAAGGTGAATGATGAGAAATCCTCTAGGTAATGAAGCAGGACTCTTCAAATACCTTGTTCAAATCCTGAAGTTAACATTGCTCTGCCGCCCTTACTGTTCAGTCTTTTGCAAGAGTCAGTCTCATGCAAGTTGGTTTCTCTTCTGGTTTATCTGTCAGCTTGAAAATTGGGTGGATGGTTCATGAACAGATTTGTTTGTGTTACTGCTTTTGCATCTGCACAGTCTCAGATGTCACTGGGGCTTGATTGATCTTGCATCTGTGAAGGTACATGAGAGGATGAAAGAGTGGGCATGACTATTATATCAAAGAGTTGGATCTGGACCTTCTCTAGTGTGAATCAGAGAAGTAAATCAAAATGGCAGCTCCTGTCATGTTAAAAAGACACACCTTAACGAAAACCTGTTTTAGCAAAGCAGAAATGCTTCTTATATCTGGAGAAGCATGTTAAGAGAGAGGGTTTGAAGGAGCCAAGGCACTAAGGAGTGAGATTCTGGGAATGCTTTGCATGTGAAAACACTTCATTAATCTGTTATAAATGTGGCTGCCCTCTCTTCCACCTGCCAGGAGCCTTCCTTGCTCCAAAGAAAGTTTGTGCTGCTCCTCAGCCGTTTCAAATGGGAGGTGGCATTGGCAAGCAGTAAAAAGCATGTTTACTTGCAATGTTGTTTTAAGATAGTTGTGAAGGTGCGGAAGGAAACACATGAACAGCTGTTTGTGTTACACTACAAACACAAGGCCACCGTTAACAAGTGCAGGTTGCAAAACCACCTCTGCTCAGACCTGGGTGGGAGGTTTTGTTCCTATGTTGGCTTGGAATCCATAGTTTGTCTTGTCTAAAGGTGATTGCTATGTTGGAAATTAATATTTAGCAACCACAGGTTGATTGATTGAGGTTTCTTGGTGCCAGTTCTTGGCATTACTGATTCTTTGAACAAATTCTGAAAATGGGGCCTCAAAAAATATAGCAATATCCAATTGTAGTGAAGTTTATTTTGCCTTGTACTTGAGCCTTACCAAGAGATGACGAAAATGTGCACACACATTACTTAAATGTTGCTATGGTTTTCCCACAGACTCAAATCGCCTGCAAAGACCTGAGACAGACAGGAGAAGTTGGTATTTCAAAAGATGATGATTTTTCATGGAATCAGGGTCAGGACCACATGAGCAAAACTAACACCTGGCCAGCCCAGAGCCTGATTTACAGCTCTGTCAGAAGGCGCTGGACCTGCCTTATGCCTCTTGTGGAGGGGCTATGGTGGGTCATAAAGAAAGAAAACAGCATTTTGTAATGTCTTGCTTTGCAAGGGCCCTGAAAGCTGCGGCAGTGTCATGAAAGTGGGGGAGAAGAGCTGGTGGTGCTGCTGCTCTGTCCCCCGAAATCCCGAGCACGCCGGCTGACCCAGAGCACGCACCGCCTTGCTCCCTCTTTTCAGCATCCTTCTCCCTCTTTCTTCTGCCACCTCCAGCTGACCAGACCCAGAGGGCTGCTGCCCTCAGAGAGAAAGGCCTGGGCACCTCTCCTCCCTCCAGCACATCCCTGCGGGGCTGCGGGGCTGCCCGCCGGCTCACTGGCTGCCGCGCCGGGGTAGCAGGGAGTAGCCGAGGCGCAGCGTAACTCCTCCCCGGGCTGGATGGCAATCATGTGATTTTTATGACTTCTCTCCAGAACCGTGTTTGCTCTGCTCCCGGCCACCATTGCTTCCTCCTGAGCAATGACAGAGGTGAAGAGAGAGGTGTTCGGGCACGTGCCCCAGGAGGAAGGAGGAGGAGTGGTGGAAAAGTTCATCTTAAAGTCAGACAGCGTGAAAGTGGAGATCCTGTCCTTAGGGTGCATAATTGCCGCTCTGGAGGTGAAAGGAAGGGATGAGGAGTTTTCGGATGTTGTCCTGGGATTTGACACTTTGGAAGGTGGGTCTAAATCTGTTTCTTTTTTTTTTTTTTTACAAAAAAAATCAGGCAATTTAACCAGTGTTTTCTGGTTTATTGCCACATTGCATGATCTGCTTCAAAGGGTCCCCTCCAAATCGTGGGCTGAGTAAATACAACTCCTGCTGCCTGTCCTGAGCTCAGTGGTGGGTGGGGAATAGGGACACTGGTGGCTCCAGATTGCAGTGTGCTCCTCTAATTGGGCAGCTCTGTGTCACGCTGTGATCAGCAGTGACAGAGGCTTTTTCTGCAAATCTGCAAGGAATACAAGAACACATCAGGCTGCTTTAATCAAAGATGTACATGACTAGCAAGCTGTGTGTCCTGTGAAACACCAGGACTGCAGTCACCTCTTTAGTACTGGTGGGAAGCAGAGAGAGAGACACCTCTGAGTCCATAAGCACACTTGGAGTCCACCCACCCTGTCCCACTCTTTGTGTTTAACCATGCGCTATTTTTCCGACCAGGTTACATGGGGAAGCACCCCTTCTTTGGTGCCATCGTGGGGCGTGTTGCCAACAGGATTGCAAAGGGGAGATTCACTGTGGATGGGAAGGAATATCAGCTGTTCCTCAACAATGGGCCCAACAGCCTGCATGGAGGAGCCAGGGGATTTGACAAGGTGAAAATCAGGCTGGCAGGTCCCGATGCTCTCTGGCACGCAGCCTGTGGGGTTATAGCAAGGGGATAGGATGTCTTCGCTCCCGATCCTGTAGGGCTTTCTGATGGTTATTCAGCTGAATCAGCTCCTAGGAAGTACTGTGAGTTCAGGAATGGGGAGAAGTGAGACCCCGTGAGCTGCTGGGTTGGCTTGTCTTTGCCCGGGTGACTTAGGAGGGCTCACTTAGGTCATCCTTGGATGCCATGCAGAGGCTCCCTGTGCTTCTTGAGTTACTGCAGCCCTAAGGCCTTGCGAGCCCAGTTCTGATGGGGTTGTCCTGGAGCGAAGTGCTGCTGCTGCAGAGCATGCGGGGACATGGTGGGACGTGGCAGCGAGGACCCAGCCTCGTGCACGATGGAGGCTCCCAAGGTGCCAGCCCCAGAGTGGGTGCTGTAGTTGTCCCAGTGCCCAAAGGAAGTTTCCTGGGGAACAGTCATCCATGCAGACTCATTTGCACCTGCGGTTTCAAGGCTGTTACCTGCCCATAGCTCCCCCCCCACCTCCCAGAATCAGAAGGTCGTGGGCTTGCAGAAACTGAGTATCACTGCTGCTTGCTTTTGACAGCACTCCCAAGTAAGGGGAGAGCAGGGTGGTGCTGCAGGTTCACTGCGGTTATTGCCTTGCCCTCTTTGGTCCCGCTTTCACCCCAGTGACACCTCTCACTCTGACTCACAGCAGCAGGTAACTAGGCCTGCAAAATGCCTCAGCATCACGCTGTCCCCTCCCCAGCCCTGCCCTGTGATATCCCAAGATAAAATAACCTTTCCCTTGCCCCAGGACACTCATCCCTTCCTATCTTCAGCTGCTGCTGAAGTCCAGATACCATCTGTGTGCTACAAGTGGTAAGAACAGTGGAGCACCTCCTCTCTTGAAAGCCTTGCTAATAACCCTGCTGATTGCATAGCAGGCTCAGAGGTCTCTGCTTTCTTGAAGCCTTGGGCTTTGTCAGATCAAATGCATTTGCAACCAGCAAGTAGCTGATCCACCATTTCTTCAGAGGAATGCATGTGAATGTACTGGTGCAGCTGCTTTTCTGGGTTAATGTTTTATTTAATGAAAGCACATTCAGAATGACAGGGCAAAAGTCAGTGTGTCTGGAAAAAAAGCTCAACTTCTGGGCAGTGCAATGTGAACTAGCATCAGATTGGGATCAAACACTCCTCAGCAGCCTTAGAAAAAAGGGAGTACTGAGACGACTTGGCTGTTGTACCCCCAAAAAGGACAATTTGGTTTATGGTTTCTTTATACTCCCTGACCCTCTGAACTGGAGCTGAAAACATGTACTCCTTTGCACCTGGGGCTTCCAGGCTGTCTTCTGCAGACAGGGGATGTGGTCTTTTCTCCTGCCTCTTCCCCTTGCTTGCCAAAGGCATGCCAACTTGGTGGGGGACAAGGCAGTGACACTTCCCAGACAGGGCTTTGTGTTGTCCAGCCCACAGGGCAGGCTCAGGCACCTGCTCAGGACCCCTTCCAACCAGCTAAGAGTCACTGTGCAGAGACCTGTGGTCAGCCCTAACAAAAACATCACCTGCTGGCTCTTGGCTGTGACTATCTTGGCCATCTTCTTGTTTTTTTGTGATCTTGCAGACCTCGATACTGCAGCCAGCGTGTGGTCTGATGACACTGATGTGGTGGAAATATCTGACCACACTGCTGGGGGACTTCAGAAAATAACACTCTTAGCTTTAAAAAGCAGATATATGCATATGCTTACTGATATTTAATAACTTTTTCTTCAAAGAACTTCAATAGAAACTCATATATAAAACCACAATGTCCCACAGCATTGGGAGCTGCAGTCAAACTGCACTTGGTGCAGAAGGACCTGCTCTGTGGCCTGGTTATCACCTTTGGCACCCTCAGCTCCCACGTTTGGTGAAAATGTTGGCTTTTGACAAGTGCCCCACATTTGTTATCTCTGCATAGGACGTGAAAGGGGTCACCTCAGAAACATTACTTGGCCCCTGCCCCTAGATCTGTCCTCTTTGATTAGATAGTAACTATTCCTTAGGTAGATGCAAAGCTCCAGAGACTGGGCACCTCACTTCTTGCCACACGTGTGTCCTGCAAGGGGATGAGACATCTGCTTAGCATCAGGTCCGTGGCCAGGACAGGCTATCTGGGCAGCTAAATTTACAGTGTGCTGTCTTGTTTCACTTGCAAGTAGGTTCAGCTCCAAGCAAAGCCCTGGTCTCTGGCAGGGGCAAGAAATGGAGGGGTCCCAGTTCTCCAGATCAGCACTGATGGGCGTATGTTTCTGGCAGTGCATCTGGTACTATTTAACCCAACCAAGCAGGAGCTCCCAGTGTGACCTAGAAGCCAGCCCTGAACGATGGAAGGGTGGCAGCTGGTTGAGGCGATGTTGCACACCAGGAGATCCATGGGAGGGGGAGTAAGTCCAGCTGCAGGGCAAAAATCAAATGTGTGGGCTCGCTTAGGCATGGAGTGACACATGCTTGGACAGACACCCATCAGAGCAAACTTCCTCATTTGTTTGGCTGCTCATTGGGAAACTTGTTCCCTGCTGTTGGCCCTGGCTGACTAAGAGAAGGCTGATGTTTGTGTTTTCTCTGACTTCCCTTTTTCTTCCTCAACAAGGGGATATTGGGTTTTCGTCCTTCAAAGGGAAGAAAAAAGATTGTTTGGGCTTTTTTTTTGCCTTTTTTTTTTTTTTTTTTTCTTCTAGGAGTAAGAGCAGGAAAGATGATTGAAAAAGCCTTTATTTCAGTCCTTGAGTATTTTTTGTCCCTGGATTCAGGGGTTCAGCCCAGCCTGGGCCAGGAGAGAAGGGCACTGTGTTTCCCATGACTGTCCCACCGACAACACGCTCCTTGCAGGTTCTCTGGAGCCCCCAGGTCCTGCCAAATGGTGTCTGCTTCTTCCGGCTCAGCCCTGATGGTGAGGAAGGCTACCCTGGTGACCTGAAAGTCTGGGTGACCTACACACTCAGTGGCGGGGAGCTGGCCATCAACTATCAAGCCCAGACCAGCAAGACGACACCCATCAGCCTGACAAACCATGCATACTTCAATCTAGCAGGGCAGGTAAGCATGGGGAGATGAACCATGTGGAGGGACACTGTGCGGGGGAAGAAAGCCTGGGGACCCATGGGATGATACATGGGCTTCCCATGGGATCATTTGGACCAGCATACTGGTCTGAGGACACAGCATGTTTCTGGGGATGCAGCAGCGGGGGTTGTCTCTATGCATCATGGGCTGCATGCAGCCTGTGAGCTGGGACAGGACTGCATCACGTAGACCTCAACTGAGGACACGTCATCCCAGTGTGTCATGAACAGAGACATCCCATCATGAATATTAACTCTCCTTTTGCATGTAACTGGGGAGTTTCAGTCTCTCCTGGTCCCTCAGGAAGATTACAGAGGAGGTGCAGAACTAGCATGCTCTAGTGATGGACTGGCATTTCTGATCTGTCTTCTGTTACTGCTTCTGAGACAAGGTGCTGAACCCTTGCATGGATGGTGCAGCTGAGATCAGGGTGTGTAGTTCCAACCAGAGTTAGTGCAGCACCAAAATACCCAGCGCAAAATGTGGAGGAGAAACACCGTGGAAAGGAGATGTAAGGCTGCCAAAGCTGCAGAGTGGGACAGTAGCAGGGTGCAGAGGGCTCCCACACACCAGTCTGGGGTCCTACCAATAGACAGGCACTGTATTGCAGCTGCATTTTAGTCTCATCCTGTTTATAACTGGGCTTGGAGGAAAAGGATCTGGGAAAGAAAATGTTGCTGGACAGCAATAGAATGGGACAGTGCAGTCACACTTGGCTGTGGGACAAAGACCGTTAAAAGTGTTAGTGAGAGATGCCCCAGCCTCTCAATGCATGGGTTCTGCTCAGGCTACTGCCTTCATAATGACTGTGCAGTTGTTATTTTACCCTCTGTTTATCCTCCCAGTGATACAGTAATATCAACATCTACAGCATGTAACTCAGGCATGTTTCCAGAGAAGTGGGAGACCTTTGGGAATGAAATTGCTGCTCGGATTAGACAGTGATGTGCAGGCTCAGCTTTGATCCCGCTCCCCTTCCAGCCCATCAGGTTCTCTGCCAGCATCCCTGAGACTGCGGGAGAGGAAGAGGGGCACAACCCCCCATGCTGCAGGAGACGGGCCAGGAGGATGGGTTGTGCTTCCCCACATTTTCTTCCTTCCCCTTTCGCCCACTGCTGTGTGCTCAGCAGCCAGCATGTTTTGGCTAGTTGATCTGCAGCGTGGTGGTGCTCGGTGAGGTACAAGTTCAGACTGATTAGTCTCAGCCCTGCAGGATTTACAGCTCCTGGGTCCCATGCAGGTTTTTGCCTCTGCTGGTCCCTTTGTCCTGTGCCCAGGGTCAAGGTGGGATGACAGCCAGGAGGCTCCCTAGGCACCAGATCAGCTGTAGTACTACTGCGGGAGTCGCCTCCCAGGTGAGCTTAGGGCTGCTTGGATGATGGCAGGGCATCCCAGTATTTCTCATTCTCCTGCAGGGTTTGCGGGATATCTACGACCACGAGTTTTCTATTGAAGCAGATTCCTACCTGCCTGTGGACAACACCAAAATCCCTACTGGTGGGTGGTGCGACATCCACGGCACGTGTCGGAGATGGTTTTACAGATAAGTGTTTGTGGGTATTGGGGAGCGGCACTGCCTGGCAAGGGGACCCACACCAGGACACAGGGCACCCTCACACAGCAGGGTCTTTGCCCAGTGGCACAGTCCCACAGCACCCGAGCACAGTGGGCCAGCCAGGTGCTGGTAACAGGGTCCATCACCAGCCCCAGACCTGGAGAGGGGGTGGGCCAGGGCGCATCGGGGAGCGCGGGCAGGAGCAGCGGGAAATGGGGCCAGAGGCAAGTGGGATGCGAGGCTGCGATGTGGGTCCAAGGGGCCCATCCAGCAGAGAGGCTACCTATGACACAGGGCCAAAGCACGTACCTCCAGACCTGTTTGGCTAATGTCGCCCTGCAGGCCACTCCATCGTTCCCAGGGCCAGTGTGGCCATCAGAGAGGGAGACTCAGCGTTCTGAGAATCAGGATTGGCCTGGGGGTTTGCCTGCTTTGCTTCTTCCAGCAGTGTTCAGCTTCTCTACTGCGATTTTCCATGTGATGTCAAGGTCTTACTTCCACAGATCCATAAGATCAGCCCCATGCTCAAAGCCTACAGAAAGCAGGAGAATTTGTTTCTTAAGAGTCAGCGAAACGTGGGAGATGCAAGCAGCATGCTCCAGGCACGGGGCTGCTGTTGATCAATGCGATGGCACACCAGGACACGGTCAGGCTCCCTGATCTGGAGGGCAGGTCCCAAGCCCAGTGCTGAACTTTAGAGCTGCTGTAATCTCTGGTGCTTGAGAGTTTAGAGTTGCCCTGCAAGAGCTGAGCCATTGATCCCCTCATTGGGACAGGAGAGCTGGTGCTACTGGCTGGGAGGCTGAAGACACAAAACCAACACTTTTCTTTCCTGTCTCTAATGTCCTACATGGCTAAGAGAGGAAAGCCAGTTAAGGAAAACAGCATGTTTTTCATGCTAAGCAGGTTAATTGAACAAAGGTGGTGTTGCTGCTGTCTCCAGCCTCAGCACAGAGAATGGAGTTGGCAGCCTCTTGCACCCAGTCTTGATTCAGAGAGGAAAACGGAGAAAACAGGGCTTTCTAGTTTTCTTCTCCCCCTCCCCCCACCCCCAACCACATCCACTCTGTTTCCCCATCAGTGGTTGAGCCACTAAGTTAAATAATCTGAACAACCTGGGACAGGGAGCAGGTTCCCCATACCCACAGGAGAGCCAGCACTGAACACATGCACTCAGCAATGGTCCCACTGCTAACGAGGAGGCACCTTGCTTGGAGTGGCTTGTCCTCAGCCCTCCTACCGTGCTGCTCCAACACCCACTTTTCGTTCAGCATGAATGACTGTGCTGAGTTGCAGTAAGAGTTGATCTAACGGCAAAATGAATCCAAGTTTCATCGTTTTTAAGACTGAAAAGCATTACTTAAAGAATAAAAAAAAAAGGTTGTGTTTGGCTTAATTTTTGAAAAAATGTAAACTAGATTAAAATAATCAAAAAAGTGAGCGGTTAGATTCGCTCCTAAATGATGGCTTTTCGTCCAACCTGACTAGCTTAGAGGAGTGGAGGCCATCGGGGTGCAGATGCTGAGCCATGGCAGGTGAGGGCTGGGGGTGCCGTGCTGTGCTGGAGGGCTCCGGTGGGCAGAGTGGTGATGGGAGCACCAAGCAGCCAGCCTGGGGCATAAATGCTGGGAAGGCCCCTGAGTGCAGCAAGCATCACTGGAAGAGAAACTGGGTGCGGGGCAGGATGTGTGCCCGAGGGCTGTGTGAGCCCGTGGGGCGTATTCCAGTAAGCGTAGGCTCTGCTGGAAATGGTAGGGCTTGTTTCCCTGACTCTCTTGCAGGGCTGCTTTGCTTTGTGCACCCTCTCACTTCAGGAGGAAGAGAGGCTTTGAAAAGCACAAAAAAGGAAAACGAGAAAGCTTTTTATCTCAGGTGTCTGCTGAAGCTAATGTCTGTGTTCATGAACCAAACCCACTGTGCGTGCATGCATCGGCTTGTACCTGGAGGTCTCCCAGTGCAGGCAGATTTTGTTCAGCTTGGCACATCATGTCTGGGCTCAAGCCAGGGAAGAGCTTGAGGCCATACCAAACCCACTGCCCTGCTTCTCCCCACTGTTTTCACCATGGAGCTGTTTCACATCTTAGTTGTGGCCAGCTTGCTGCCTCTGCTTTTGTAGTTCCCTCTTCGTGTTTTGGGTAAATGCAGCCTTTGAAGCTGATAAAACTGTGTGCAGTCTTAGCCCTGGGTGAAGATGAGATTTGTGCGACTATTAAAGACACAGCCCTTGCATGCAATGGCTGATGCATTTTATGTAAGTGTCTAAATCAATTTTTTTTTTTTCAAGGTGTTTTTCCACCCCACAGCTGAATTCAGTAAATGTGAGCCTTTTAGATAGGATCAGAAGCCACAGAAATGTGCTTTTTGTTAGGTGGAGAGCCCTATTTCTCAAGGTTTGCAGAGCAGAACCAGTGCAGCTTGGCAGCTGAGCTGGGTGCGTGACTGCAGCACGCAGGGCACAGCACACGGGCCTGTGTGCTGCCACCCCCAACACTGGCAGATGCCTGCTGACCCTTGAAACCTCTCCCTTTAGAGAGGTGTAGAAAAGTGTGACTTTAGGGGAAAATCCCCTCCCCTGCCCTTCCAGCTCCCCCATGCAAAATCTCTTGCCTTTGGGGTGCGATGGCTATGTTTTGCATTGTGTTTAGTGTGTCTTAGGGTTGTCCTCACTGCAAGAGCTTTATCACAGGATGCTGTGTCCCCGCATCAGGCCTTAAAAAAAGACACAAGACTTTATGGTCTTAAGCCTTTTTTTTTTTTCCTGAAATGATGCACTGAGGAAGGAGGGGACTGGTCCCAGTATACAGCCCATATTCACAATCCCGGCAGGTGGGGCCACCTTCTTGGCCATCTCACAGATGTTTGTTCGGAGATCTGGAAGGATTGATTGATTGATGGATTCATTCATTCATTCATTCATTTAGAGAGAAAGTATATAAATCTTGTGGATATATAAATATTAATAGCTAATAAGTTTTGGGTTTATATTATTTAGCTTGCATAGTTACATCTAAAAGCCTCTTCGGCTTTGTTTTGTCCCAGCTAAGCACAACACTGTCCCCAGGGGCTGCCAGCTCTGCTGGGGCACAAGGTAGTGATGTCCCAGCCTGAGTCACAGTGGGCCTCAAGGCAAGCTTGCTCAAAGCGGGGCACCGCAAGGCAAAGATCACAAACAGCTTAAAACCCTCAGCTCGCCAAAGCGAGGGATCGCAACTCTGTACAGAGGCCAGCGCCACGGGTGTTTGCTGGAGCGTGGGCGAGTGGCCGACACTGCTGTTCTCCTTGCCCAGGGGAAGTGGCCTCTGTGGAGGGCACCAGCTTTGACCTCCGGCAGCCGGTGGAGCTGGGGAAGCACTTGCAGAAGTTTCGCCTGGATGGCTTCGACCACAACTTCTGCCTGAGGCGGGTGGAGGCTCGACGCCTCGCAGCCAGGTAGGCTGGGACCCTGGCGCAGGGGTCCCCCACCCCTGGAGCCACACGGTGCCCGTTTGGCAAGCCCCCCGATGTCCTCCACTGGTGTCTCCCCAGGGCTCGCCACCCACCCACTGGCAGGACCCTGGAGGTTCACACCACCCAGCCTGGCATCCAGTTTTACACCGGCAACAACCTGGACGGCTCCCTGAAGGGCAAAGGTGCTGTCCCGTACCCCAAGCACTCGGCTTTTTGCCTGGAAACCCAGAACTGGCCTGATGCTGTCAACAAGGTGAACTGTCCCCCCACCCCTGGGAGTTGCTCAGGTCCTGTGGCGGGGGACCATGCCACCATCCCCCCCCCCCCCCCATGTTTCTAGGGTGTTGAAAATACGAATGGAGCCTGTTTGGCAAGGGGATGCTTTGTAGACAGCAGAACTGGGGCAAGGCACAGGTCACAGCATCCTGTGGCGTTAGGCAGGGGTTGGCCAGGGCAGCGGGGACTGGCTTTGCACAGCCCGGCTTCCCAAAGGCACAGGGTCGCCTAGAGCAGAAAACCCCACCGGGGCCCTGCCACGTCCCCTCCACGGGGCCTGAATTCAACCAGGGGGAGGACTTGCCCACTCAGCCAGCTGGCAAGTAAAGGGCCGTTGAACAGTGCCGCTGGAGATGCCTGGGAGGTGCCAGGGGATGCCACCCCAGGAAGGCCGAGGGGATGTGGCTGTGCCCTTACGACCCTCTCTGGTCCTGCGGTGCGCGCTCACAATCACGGACATGCTGCTGTCTCTCCCCAGCCCAACTTCCCCAGCGCCCTACTCCAGCCAGGCAAGGAATACAACCACACCACGTGGCTCGTGTTCAGCGCCACTTAAGGAAGGGGGGATCCTGACTCCTACCACCGAGAGGGTAAGTCTCTCCAGCAGATTAGCCAGAAATCCCACCTGGTGCCAAACGGTGCCCTCACCCTACCCTGGGCAGCACATCCCATTGGGGAACTTTTTTTCCTTCTCTGTGTTTTTCACCCGTGGTTTCTGCTGGCTTTAACTCCCGTCACCACGTCTGCCACTATTTGGCCCGTGCAAAGTTCTCACCCTCTGTCCAGCCTGGGCATTAAGTTTTGTTTTGCAGTAAAAACGCACTGAAAACACCTTGTTTAGGGACACGTCGCAGCTCAAACTACAGCAGGGGAGTGCCTGGCGATACTCGTGTGGAACACGTGGGAGGGCTGATGAAGCTGGGGTTGGTTGTTGTAACATCAGCTATCCCAGCCCAGCGCTCGGAGCTGCCCTGGCTGCTGCTCTCTCCCTGCCACTGACCTGCCCCACAGCCTGGGGTCAGCTCATCAAAGGGTGCCCTGCCCTTCCCATGCCAGGCTCCTCGGGGCCCGAGCCACCAGGTCTGACAGCAGCATTGCAATGGCACAGGTATGCAGAGGTCCTGTAGAATAGCTCTGCGGAGGACGGTGTGCTCGGGTTATCCCAGCTGGCCACTCTGGCTCCTGTGGTTTAACTCCTGTTTTGAAGCCAGCAGTGATGGCTGCACAAGAGCAGCACTATGCCTTGGCTGCTGAAGTGAAGCGGGTGCATCCATGTATAGTCCTGAATATACAACCGCGGGTGGAGAAATATCTTAATGTTGTGTTTCCATGTGAAACTCTTCCCCAGAACTCTGTAACAGGGGTCTGTCTGATGAAAACCTCCACATTTCTGAGATTCCATAAAAAACCAGCACAAGCCACTGGGATGGGCAGTGCCATCCTATAAGGGAGCTGGCACCCTTCTCCTGAAGGACACGGGGTCAGGCAGCCCTCGGGCCAGGCACCCCAGCCTGCCTCCCACCCTCTCCTGCCACGCTGCTGCTGAAGGGGCTGCACAAGCCCTGGCTCCCTCCGGCAGGTTGTGGCCAGACCCGTGGCGCTCCAGCCTGCTTCCTCGGCTGCAGAGCTGCAGGAACGGTCTTGCCCCCAGAAGCGGGTGGCTCGCAAACGTGGCACAACCGTCACAGGCAGTCCTGCCACCCTGACCCCCAAAAGGAGAGCCCCACTCCCGTCCTGCGACGCCACGAACGCCGGGACGTGCACGGCGGTCACCCGTTAACACGGCTGCGGGTCATACCGTGAAAATGCTGGTGCTGCTTGGGGAATAAAGCTCAGGAAATGCCAGGTTACAACCCAGGGGTGGAAGCACCATCAGCCCTAGGAGAGCAGGGTTAACCCAGCGGGCTAAGGCCTCAGGCACACACCCCTCAGAGGTGCAGGGCCCGGGGGCACGGCAGCAGCGGTCACACCAACCCAGTCCTTTCTGGGCACCTAAGAGCTCGCAAATACTGCGTGAAATTTTTGGTGAAGTCCTACCAAACTCAGGCGGGAGCTGGAGCTGTGCGGCCTGCTCCAAGGACGCCTAGAGCTGAGGGAGGACGACTGGTCAGACCTGGTGCACAGACGCCAGATTTGTCACCGCTTCTCCCTGAGGTTCTCATTGCTAAGCCTGTGTTTAGAGAAAGCCCATGCTCTTCTGCTCCATCTTCCAGTGCCTCTGGGTACTGAAAAACAGGTACCAGTACAGCCATCGTGTTAGTCTGCAGGTTTATTGTGGAGTAGGTTTACCTTAGAGAGTACAGAAGAGAAAAAAGCCGATCAAATTCCAGAGCAGCGGCATACGTGTGCCTCTCACCGGGTACGCTATAAACCAGGCAGGCAATGCACGACCAGTAAATATTCCAAACACAAGTCACAGGCTTTGGGTATTTCTGCTAAATCACTGCAGGGCAACGTTTAGTGTCGCCCCTCCTGGCTCTCCCATTGCAGTGACGCCGGGATTTCATGGGCAGTGCCAGGGTATCCATCACTGCACCTGGCAGATGGAACACGAACCCCCACCGCTGAACACCACGGGAGTGTCCAGGCAGACAACAAGCACCACGACAGTTAGGACTAGGCACAAAGGTCAGACAATGCTGCGGCACGACAGTACAATCAAAATCTGGACTGTTTACTTCTATACTGGAAAACCGCCATTAAGTCATTGTTAACAATTTTTTTTTTTTTTGAAAACCGTGGGTTACACCCAGGGTGTGACCAAAGTTAATCTTGTAATTATTTTTCATTTAACATGCTCTGCTGTGGTTTACACATGTGGAAGCAAACTGCCACGACAGATTTCATATGAAGCCCAAGCAAGCCTCACTTCCATTTGCAGTGCTTATTTACTGCCAAAACTGGCCTTTATTTCTGCTAGGTATCTCATTGTAGTAAAAAAAAAAAAAAAGTTTGCTTTTTTCCCCTCTGCCTACCAGTTTGTTTGTTCAGTCTAGCATTGTTTCCAGTCTTTTGCTGTGATGTGCCAACAAAGTGCCTTATCATGCAATTCTTGACTACAGAATTAGGCCAAACAGTTTGACATACCTATGCACAAATAATTAATCCTGCAGGTGTGCTTTTGCTGTAAGAAATTGGCTTAATTCAACAAAAGTCTCCCGGATCTGGGCTGCTTTAAAACCATACCAATTTCTGTGAAGCAGGTTCGAATTCCTGAGGTCAGCTGTGAGAATCTTTCACTTTAAGGAGGAAAGTTTGAGTGAGCTGCAGAAAGACTAACAGCTTGCTTTTGCCTCTCAAACACATTTTCCTAAGGTCCTTCAGGAAGCAGGTCAGAAGACCTTATGTCTTCCCTCAAAAAAGGGAAACATGCCTTGAGACATTTTAAGAAGTTTTCTTTATATCAATAGCCTAAAGAACTAAAAAATGCAAAAAGCAAAAGTAGCAAATGTCAAGTTATTAATGATTCCTGTTACGCTTAGAGGTTTCTGCAGATGTTACTCATTTAAAAGAAGTCAGTGTTTTGAATAAAAGCTCATCCTTAAATTTTTGGGCAGCTGGTGTCATAACTATTCAAGCACCAGAGAGTAAGCTTTGCAGAATAACTCGATCAGGGAGAAAAATGAATGCCCACTAAATATCATAAAGGAATAAAAAAGGGCTTATGCAAATTTTTAGCCATCTGCAGAGAGAGATGGATTTTCAATTCCATTTCAAAGAAAGCAGAAACTGATCCTTTCACCAAAGACCATTCAACAACAAATGTGAAAAGTGACTGGTTTGAGAAGACAGTGGTATTAGCCATTCCCATTTTAGATATTTTTCATCCACATTACATGGCACACAGCTAAAATTACCCAAACGTTAACAGAAGCAGCAGGGTTACTACAGAGAAGTTTTAGTTAAAAATACACATTTTATTTCAATGTGCCAATAAAAAAGTCCCACATTTTCATATCACAGGAAGTTAATTCATACAATAGAGACCTGTGCTAGTCTATTGGTGTGACTAACTCAGAAGAACCAGATCATGCCAAATTTTAGCTGATATACTGATCTATCTACATTCTTACATTTACAAAGACACCACAAAATCCCTTATAATAACGTAAGCAAAATAACTTTCTTCCTAAAAGATTGGCTCAATGACTTTAATCCATTCTTTCAGGACTTGCACTTCTTTGAGGGCTTCCTGATGGTGAACGACTGAAAGGAGAAGAATCCACAGTTAACATTTCAGTAGTCATTTGAGATTCACAAATACAGGAAAAAGCAATGGGAGGATATCTGGATGACTCCAGTACCCTTTAAGCACTGGTTTTTAATAAAGTAATCAATCACTATTGATAAAGTAAGCGGGTTGATGATTTAATGTTAGAGAGAATACATTTATTTTATTCTTTTTACTTTCATATTTTTGCATTTATCTACTGTTATTTTTATAATACAATTTAGATGTAAACCTATGTGTAGAAGTTGTGTAAGTATGTAAAAATAAAATAAAAAAAGAAACAACTTGCAGGGCAAAAAGATCACCAAGGCAAGGGATACATTGTGGCAGGTGTACATCTATTCTTACTAGGATATATCCCCTCCCTGCAAATCCTGAACACCGAAATGGTAAAAATGAACTATTAAAGAATTCAAACTAAGGAAAAAAAATGCTGATGATTCTGTCACTATACATATATGCGTACACACAGAGATAACCATTTACCAACTTATTGGGGAAAAAAAAATAATCTGAGTAACAGCAGTAAAAATAAGAGGCTCAATCTTGCATTCTGACTGCTACGCCAGGTTACTCCACACTCTCTTCCCCAATTTTGCTATAGCTTTTAATGAGACTCAAAGCTGGTTACACTTATTCTGTGCTTTAAGCTCACCAGTAGAAAGTCTCTGTGCAATAAAACCGTTAGTGAATTGAAATGAACACAGGAGCAGACAAAGGCAAGATGTAACACTGCTGCGTAACCAGCATTCTGAGGAATTATCACCACATATATATTACCATATATAAAACCACTATCACAATGTTATTGCTGTTAAAGAGATCTTGGCAAAATACCTTTCCAGTATTTTCCTACAAGCAGCAGTCAAACTCCTCAGCAGAGATCACTGCAGATACTAAAATGCCAGCTCTACGGAGTCTATGTTATTAGTAGGGAGATCAACGTACCTTCTCTTTGGAGACGGTGATCGGGACTTTGACCGACTGTCAAAACAGAATATCATCAATGCAGCTTAAAGGTCAAAAGGAACTTTTATATTAAAAAAATAAGTATCTTAGACAATAATGGAATTATTATGGGAATACAGCCAGGAGCTCTTTAAAATGGCAAAGATTTCAAACCAACTTTTACTCTGACAGGGATTCTCAATTCATTTAGCATGGAGATGAATTTTAAGTGACTGTCTTTGGTAGATGAAACGGGAAAACAAGGGGTAGTACTGCAGTGAGGCCTTGAGAAAAGAAACATCACAGATTCCTGTTGTTTTATCAACAATGTTAATAAAGCTGAAGGCCTTTATCTGATGGATAGCAAAATCTAACAGAACTGAGCACAGAGACACACACACAAAAAAAAAATCAGTCCTACGTTGGAAACTACAAAGAGTTAATGAAAACAAAGAGATGGGTAAGGAACATATTCCAAACAGCTGCAGAGGAAATTTTACAATCTCAGTCATAGCACAAACAGATTAGCTGGGCACCCATGTTTGTGGGATTTTTTTCTAAAGGACTGGGCTCTGTTAATCATGCAAACTTAATACTGAATTCCAGATACTGCTGCAAGCTTTATCTCTGCATGCTTACCTCTTAGCCGGCGAGCCAGATTTTGATCTGCCATGAGACCTAGACCTATAACAAGAAAAAACAGAGCTCAGCAGGGAAGCTGGTAGCATGCACGTTCCCATATCTGAGATACCGAGATTCACACTAAATGTGTAAAAACTGTCATGTCTAACAGACAGAATCCTCTAAGTTTCCAGGGCTTTTCCTGCTAAATTTCAGGATTTTTAAATGGAAGCTGTACATGTTGCTCTGTACTTTGGTCCCTCACTGACGACTGGCGTTTGCTCGTGCAGGTGGCAGGAATACACGAACAACTCAAATCCTGACCAGTATTTTTACAAAGCTAAAAAAAAAGCCATGGTCTAAACTTGCAAGTTGTATTAGACCTGAGTGACATCTACCACTATAGTTGAAACTGGCTGCAGGCAACGTGCTCCTACAAACATTTTCACCTCGGTGCACTTCATCTTATATATGCACTTGCTCAAAGTATTTTTTTTTAAATCTGTCCAAACTCAACCCTTCTGTAAAAAATGTCAGTGTTTGACATAAGACTCCTGCACCATAAGGACACTAATACTGCTTAGAAGAATAACTGAAATTTTTAAGTTCCCAAAGGAAGTGTTCTACTTTCAACATCCAAGGCTTTCCACACAACAACTTCCAGATGTACACTTTAATGCTGTCAAACCAGCAAACATCATGTAATACTTATTCAGTCTGTCTCCCTTATGAACCAAGAACCTGTCCCTGGGTGTTATGCATTGCTTTGATTCTTCTGTAAAGAAGCCAACTTTCAACTGCCTCACGTGGAAGTATAACAGTGACTTCATTACTTAAGCACCAGTATTTTGCCATTTTTCTGTAAGTTCCTCTGCTTCAGTCACTTCATCTCTACTTAAAACGAAAGGGGTCACACAATAGTCTAGAAACTTCACTAAGAGCATCCCTTATACTGCAGAAAAACATCCCGGTACTAAAAAAAAAAAGCTGGTAAAATCAAGATGGCTTTGAGAGCCTGTTGACTGTAGTTGTTTTCTGTTCATCACTGACACTGAACAGTGATTAAGTCATGCTGTAACAACTAGTGTTAAGATTCAACCTATTTTAGCAACAAGTAGAGAAAGTGTAAGTGATCAGTGAAAGGGAACTTCCATTCTCTTTTTACTAGGTTTTGAACTGTTTGTGTGAGTTTCTGCTCTTAACTAAACCATCCTCTGGTCTTCATCTCTTCATTTCCTAAGAACTGTCATTGCTTGGTGTTCCACTCTCAGAAAACGCCATCACCACCTTTCAGCACTGAATCCGCCATCTTCGGCTGTAGGCTTTTCCATCTACTCCCTTCAGCTAAAGCTTCCCTTTATTTTTTTGTTTCTTCCTGGTTGACTATTACGTTATTTATTTCAAAGACCAGCCATCAAACCAGAACAGTAGGCCTGGCAATGGACTGGGGAAAGAGCAGTACCATCTCCTTCAGAGTAGAACTTCAATTTACTCTTGTTCTCCTATGACAGCTCGCCAAGGACATCCAGTCAACTTATGTCAGCCACGCTGCCTGGACAAGGTTGCACAAAGCAAAAGCTGCATTCACTTAATATGGAAGGATTAAACTACAACATAAGAGAATGAATGACATCCGGTGTTCCTTTAAAATTTGATCATCACTCTTACAGGACATTTGTTGGTTCAAAATAATTCTGACATTTACCTCAAATTTAATTCAGCTCCTGCAGACTTATACTTTGTTATTCAACAGAGCTGGAAACAGCTGTGACACTCATGGCACTAGCAAACCCTTGGTGACTTGCCTGGCTATATGCATTAGTGCTGTAACACATTAGTGGGGGAGCATCCTGATTTCTCTGATGAATAATGGGAAAAATCTACAAACTCGTGTGTACTACAGAAAGAAAAAAACTTTTTCAGATTAATTCGAAATGTGTTTGCTATGCTAACTGTTAATACAGCCTGATCAAACAGTACTTGTGATGATTACTGTGACCTGGATATCAGTGTTATGTAAAACAATAAAAAGAGAAAGAACAGTCTTCTGTACTGCTTTTTAAAACTACAGACCCCTAAGTAAGTGGAGAGAAAAAACAGCTTTTTCTAAAAATTTTAACAGCTGTTAGAAAGCCTGAACAGACTTTTAACCAACTTCTACTAAGTATCTGCAGTTATGGAAGAGATCTTACCTGCTTCGAGGCCATGTAACAGATCTGGATCTAGATCTGGATCTTGATCTAGACCTGAGATAAAAGATTAAGACAAATTAAAACAAAAGCAAGAGAAGCCAACTCAACCAGAAGTGCTGACAATCACAGCACTACTTGATTAATGTCTACATGTTGAACTTAAAAATTCTATGATCATTAGATCCTTTAGACATCAAAATTCACCACCGGATATGCAGCTGTGTAAGGTCTCAAAACTAACCGTATTGCCATGCCTGTAAATTCAACTAGAAACTTTCTAAAGCATGCTGAAGTCCAATTTCTAGGGGTCAACACCTTTTGAAGCCTGCTATTCAATACCTTTTTGAACCCCTAAAAAAAACAAAGCACACAACCTACTAAAAATTCCTACTAGTTACCTTGATCTCTTCAAGGAACCCGATCTGGACCGGCGGGGAGACACAGACCTAGACCTACGAGGAGAAACGGACCGAGACCTACGATAGGAAGCTGACCTGGACCTGCAAAAGACACCAGTTCAGTAATTGTGCAAGCGTAACTTTTTCTAAGCAAAAAAAGCACATAGAAATGAAAAACTTAAGCATACCTCCTACCACGACTCCGACTGCGTGACCGAGAATACCTTCTTCCTCGGGACCTTGAACGGGATCTAGACCGGGACCTGGTTTTAGGTTAGAGAAAACAGGTATCAGGAAACAGCTGCAGCAATCAGTGCACGTGAGGCCCTGCTGAAGTCAAAACTGATTTCAGACAACTAAAGAACTAGCATCTGTAAGTTGGAAAAATCTCTGGGCCTACTTGCCTTGAGCATTTTACTACCTAGAAAAATGTTAAAAGCTGAATTACATTGCAGAATTACATTAGAATAGAAAACACTGTAATGCGTATTTAAAATAAACCTTGCAAGTTTGCAGGTCGACCCTCTTTGGCCCAAGGTCTAGCAGATCTAGACGATCTAGAAGTATCTATAGCCGATCGCTGCATCTAGGTGTTCTCTTCAATCTAACGACGATCAAACTGACAGCCCAATGAGCCAGGGTGAGGCTTGATTGACGCAAGAAGATTTTTCTAGGTGGGAATGTGGTCAATCTGGTGTTCCTCTTTCTAAACCGGAGGGGGGCCCCAATTGAAAGCCAAATTTACTGTTATGGCGATCACCGTCTCAAATTTTCTGCCCTTAAAGAATAAGGTGAAGCTACGTGTAGATGGCTCGAGGGGATCTGGCCTCTTATGCTGATCACCTCAAGGTCTAGGAGGATCTTAAGTGTCGGATTTGCAAGGCGCCTCAGCATGAAATCTTAAGGCTCGTGACATTCTGAATCAAGGCGACTGACTCAAACGAAGAAACCTGAAAGGTTTTGACCAGGTTGATTATTAAGATATTAACATTTGATAGAAATAGCAACAAATTGTAATATACACCTATACATTTATTCTAGCATTACAGTTTAAAGAAAACTGGTGTAACATTCTGTTCTTTGCTAACAAGAGCTACACATAAGTGAACTGGTGAAGCAAGCCAGCCATTCTGGCCCCACACATACCTGCTCCTCCTTCGGCGACTATAGCGGTGACAATCATAGGCATAGTGGCCTTTCTCACCACACTCATAGCATCTGTCATTAGGGTCAAAGGGGCGCCGTGCAGGAGGCCTGTCATAACGGGAGCGACGAGGCATCCCTGTTGACACTTCCACTCTAACCCTGGAGCCACATATCACCCTGCAACAAGTCCATCATGGATCTAAGTTAACTGCTGCCGTTTATGACAGAACTACAAAAGGGAGAAGAACCAGAGAGAAAACCCCAATTCTCTCTCCGGTCTTAAAACCAACTGTGGCACCAGCAAACATCTGAAATGCACACGTACTTCCCATCAAGTCCACGGACTGCATCTTCAGCATCCCTCGGGTCTTCAAACTCCACGAAGGCAAACCCCGGCGGGTTCCTCGCGATCCACACCGTTCTCAGGGGCCCGTAGTAGCTGAAGGCTCTCTCCAGCTCGCCTTTGCCCGCGCCCGTGCCCAGGTTCCCCACGTACACCTTGGTCTCTGCCGGGAGCGAAGCCAGTGTCAGCACCGGAGTAAAAGCGGCACCCCCGCCCGGCCCCGGCCCCGCCCCCCTCGGGCGCCGCCATCTTGTTTGCGCGGCCCGCTCCCGCCTTCACCGCGAGCGGTGGCACGCGCGGGCGCACCCCCTCCCCCCTCATCCTGCTGACGCAAAATGGCGGCGGCGACGACGACAACGGTAGCAAGCGGCCGGTTCGCCTTCCTTCCCCCAGCCCTCTCACCGACCGCCTGCCGCTCCGCTCACCCGCGGCAATCGCCTCTAATCCACAAACCTCCCTCACCCTCCTCTCGTTGCAGCCACCCACGCCTCGCGTAGCCCCGGGAACTCACCGCCTCCATAGCGGCCGTAGCGCGACATCCTAACGGCTCCGTCAACCGCCTCTCCGCGCGCACGCGCCGCCGCCCGCCTCTGCCCCTTGCCCTCTCCTCCCTCCTCCCTCCGGGCCGCGCGGGGTTTCGGCGCGCATGCGCCTGGGGCGGCGGCGGCGCGCGCAGCGGGGCGGAGCGGGGCGAGGGCGGGCAGCTGGGCGCGGGTTTGGCTGAGGCGGCAGCGGCCGGTGGTGCCTGAGGCGGAGACGGGGGCAGGGCGGGTTTCGGCGCCCTTCGCGGCATCGGGGGGGTCGGGCAGTAACCGCTGCGCCGCCTGGGAGGGAGGTTCAGGCAGTCGGTGGGGTCCTGTGGCGAGCGAGTGGGCCCGCGGCGGGAAGCAGCCTCCGGAGCGGAGCCAGCAGTGCCTGAGAAGTTCCGCTTGTCCTGGGCCTGCTGCCGCCGCCGGGGTGGAGAGAAGCGCTTCAGGCTTGTGCCGATCCTTCCGGTGGAGCACTGTCGGTTTGGGAAAGCAGTATCAGCAAGAGCTGCTCTTACCAGAAAAGCCCCCCGAACTGTACATTTGAGCCAGGAGCTCCCGCTAGTACAGTTAACTTGAGTGGGGAGAGTTGCACCCCCATGTGACTGTGATTAATCCTAAATTTATGGTGGGAGAGCTGTACTAGCTGCCCACAACAGCGATCTGTATCTATAAGATTGGGCTGAGATGACAGGATAAAAAAAAAATACGTAGGGCTTTGTGGTTCAGAACAATTAAATAACTACACTGGCAACAATGGAGAAAAGGGACCAGCAAGAATTAAAACTGAAGATGTTTGGAGTATTTAACTCAAGAGTGTCTTTGAACTAACCACCCTTCAGTCTGTGATCCAGAAGGGGACCAGTTAGGAAGCTCTTTAGACCATCAACTGTGTTATGTGTATGAATATATAAAAACAAACTACATTCCTTCTTTCCACCACTTTTCTTTCAAACAAGCTAAGATTTCCCATTGTGTTGCTCGCTCTGAACAGTGAAAACAGATTTGCTATTCCCTTCTTTCTAAGAAACTATAACTGAAATAAAACAGCTGAATGGAGTGGCACAAGCCGTAAATCCCCACAGCACTGTGAAAGTTGAAACTTTACAAAAAGAAAAAAAAAAGCCTGCAAAATAGGACTATCTCATTCTATACCCTTGATACCTGTTCTATTATGCTCACAAAAATCGTTGCATGCTTACTTTCGCTTAAATGACAAATGACGGCAGCTTGTTTGCTTCATCCATAGGAAGGTTTTCATTCGTAGTGTTAAAATAGATCAATTTTGGGGGGTGGCGGCACGGGGTAAATTTTCTCACCTTCACAGCTGCACAGGAAAGCTTGTAAATACAACTCAGAAACAGGGGGCAAAAATATTTTTTTATGGAGCAGATATACACAGCATGCATCTATACCTATTTATGCACACAGATTGCTTGAAGAGGCTTCAGCCGTGGTTTTGTGTACCCAAGTTAGCAACTTGGCAGCACCAGCAGGAGCATCCGGAAACCCAAGTGAAGGGAGGCCGCGGAACACCGCGTGGATTTAAGCGCTACACGCCCCGCCTCCTTCTTTTGCAATCAGGACTCGTTTATATAAATCTATGTATAATTTATATGCGCTCCCGTGTTTATAAAACACTCCGGATCCGAGCATTTCCCTGCCTCAGAAACCTCAAACCCCGTGCTTAAAAAAAAAAAAAAAAAAACCCGAAACTGCCGCGGGGAGGGTGCTCCGTTGCGGCAGGAAGCGGCGGCCCCGCCACGGAGCACGGAGGGGGGGGGGCCCCGCTCCCAGGCGCCGCCGACGGGGTCGGGAGCCGAGCGGCCGTTGGCCCGCGCGTGGGTAAGCGCGGGTGGGCCGGGCGGCTCTCCTTGCCGGGTCCGGCCCGCTGCCCGTCCCGCCGCGGGATGTGCCAGCTGGGAGCAGGCAGGCGCGGAGGAGGGAACAAAGGAGGGAGATTCCTCCAGCCCTTTGTCCTCCCTTCCCTGCCCCGCCCCCATCTCTCTCCAGCCCCTTTCGCGAAGGAACAGTGGCATGGAGACAAACGCTTCTGTGGCTCCAAGCTGAGGCAGGCGTGGCTTTGCTTTCGTGACCAGTCCGGGGGAAACGGGGGAACAGCACTTGCTTGCTCTCTCTGCCGTGGGGGATGAGAATAGAGCCGAGATCCGGGTGGATAACGCTCACCCACAGACAGTGGAAGGGCTTGGGAGCAAGGGATGTGCCAGTGCGCGGAGCAAAGGCGGTAAACTGCCCTCGAGGGAGCGGGATCCCGAAGGTTTTGTAAGAGGGCAGGACAACAAACGGAATGTTTAATGCGGTGGAAAAGTGTTAAGTTCGCAGAATGGCGATTTTGAGGCTTCGCTCTGTGCCTTTTTAAAAACAAGTGAACTGGGTGGGAAATTACAGAACCGCAGCAATATGCAAACCCGTTGTGTGAATGTTTGTTTTTAAGAGAAGCAAATTGTGCTTAAGACGAATGGAAGATCTTTACCTGGAGGCAAACTCAGTTCTGATGTGAAGGGCAAAGCAAAAGGATTCATTGTTTCGGCTAATTGCTCTGGCTATTTTCTATGTTCTGGATGTAGGAAATATGAATGACTGGCAGAGGAAAAGCCCTCTAGACTGGGAGACGTATGTGAACAAAATGGTGAAAGTTGCTGCAATTGAACAACATGAATATGAAGGCTGGGTCTTAACAGTTGATCCAGTTTCTGCTAGGTAAGTACCAAAGCTTTTGTTTCTGTAAAGCCTAAAGAAAACAAGTTTTTCAGGTTGAAAAAAGATCCCAAGACTGAAGCAAACTTACTTGGAGTAAAAACTGCATGATGGGGCTGTGTGTCCTGTTTTTTTAATGGGCAAGGCCTAAGAGAAAGTAATATTGTAGTTGATGAGGCCAGTTCCACTTCAATTTCATTCAAAGGACTGGTCAGCTTGGGGAATGGATAATATTTGTATTCCTTCTGACTTTATGATGGCCCTGAGCTTAGTACTTAAAATGATAACCACATGTTTAGGACTGTTTTTAATACTATACCGAGCCCTGGGTTACAGAGGGAGCAGGAATGCAGGTAATGCTTTTAAGGCTTTAGGTGTTGAAATCCTTATCCTCTGCTCAGAGTTCTCACTTTCCCCTCCAGCCAGACACCCCTGAGGGTGTAGTGGCTGCTTTGGAGAAGTAGGGAAAATCAGCCAGACAGAAGGTGGTACCACAGCTCTCTAGTATGTCGAGTAATTTTAAAACAGGGTTTGAAGGGCAGAACGCACCAGGGAATAGGCAGAAATTTGGCTCCTTGCTGCCAGAACTTTTTTGTACCTTTTTGGTTGCGAGTTTGTTCCACGTGAGCACAAGGCAAAGGCTAGAAACTAAAATACCCAGCTTCTGATGTATTTCAGAATAATTAGCCGTTGCTTCAACCCCAGAGTAGCTCCAATACTCTAATCTTCTCTTGGAGTTGCTTATCATTTTGGTAGCAAAGGTGCGTGCAGCTGTGATCAATTCTGGGAGTGGCCCGGGCTAAAACCAAGGCATATTTCACTGTGCATTTCCCCAAATGTCATTACTTCCACTAATGGTGGCAACCGTAGATGAGCAAAGTGCTGGCATCAAATTCTGGAATTTTTCTTCCTGGAAGAGGAAGAAATTGTTTTCTGATCCTCTTTGTTGATATATGGGGAAGCGGTCCTAGAAATATAACAAGCTGCCTTCCTACCTGTATTTTAGGTTTTCTGGGATGTAAGTGCCCTTGGGAAAAGACCAGGCTGCTACAACAAGAGCCTGAACCTGCTGTGCTGTGTTTCCATTGTAATATTCAAACTATAGTTTTCAGTTAAGAAACTAGCAATGCTCATTTAAAAACAAAAATTCAGTAATAACCAGTAATTAAATATTAATCATTTATCATTAAAAGGTTCTGATGTTTTAAGCTTCCACCAATGCCTCCAGTATTGAAAGTGCTGGATGTATGAAGGTGTCATTGTTTTTGGATGTTGGAAGACTTAAGATTCTTCAGCAAGGTTGGGAATACTGCACAATATGTAGATTCTGGTTTTAATGTATGCTTTGTTTTTTTTAAAGTAACATTATGCTTGATAGTATCCAGAATAGTTCCAAATTGAAGGCCCACTGTTACCCACAAAGACCCACATTTTCAGTATTTTTAAGGGTATAGCAGCATGCTTTTCAAGATTAATGCTGGGTACTCAATACTGCCTAAATACCTGGGTTACACTGGTGCTAACGAGCATTCATCTCCAAAAATCTTGACCTGTGTTTCTCAGTCTTTAGTTAAGTACAGTGACTCATACGTCATTCTTTCCTTGGCAGTATTGTCCTTGCAACGTTCCTGGAGAATGAAAAAGTGTCCATTTTGGTTGTCTTGGGCCATGCTGTCCAGGAGGTTGAAATACTGAAAGAAGGGGACGATGAAATGAAGCAGCGGCTTTCTTGCATATTTGCACCTGAAGAAAGCAAATCTTACAGCCCAGAGGAACTTGAAAAGAGGAAGAATGACTTGAAGACTTGGCTAGAAACAAACCACATCCCTATAACAGAGCAAGGTGAATTGGGAAGAACACTATGTGTGGCGGGAGTATTAACTATTGACCCACCATACGGCCCAGAAGAGTGCAGCAGCTCCAATGAGATTATTCTCTCTCGGGTTCAAGGCTTGATACAGGGCTATCTTGAAAGACAACAGTGATGACTGCTGTTAAAAGCAGTTTTCTTTAGTAATAGGTCTACCCACCCTATTTTAGGAACTGTCCTGGGTATCAATACTCACTATTTGCAAAAATGCTGGGTTTAGATACATCAGTCTGATTTTTGTATGTTAAGACAGGGACAAAACAAACAGTATAAAATAAAAGCACAAAGCATTTTCCATGCACTATTTTTTTATTAAAAGCAAGCCTTTGGATGATGATGTATTAAACTGATATATCAGTTTACTGTATCAGTATGAGGCTGATATATCAGTTTAACAAGTGGGTTTTTTATAACAGTATTGTGAGAGATGACATATGATAAATTTTAAACTGTGTTTTCATCTGCCTTTAAAATTAACTTAATTATCTAGTGTTATAGGTGGGTTTGTTTGAACTGCTTATTAGAATTATTATTTTTTTTTTCCTGAAAGAGAATTATGACACTTGGACTTCCCAAACCAGATGAAAAAATTGTTCAGAAAGCTTCCCCCCCCCCCCCCAGCTGTTTTCCTGTTCTAGAACATGAATTATAATCTAGGCCCAAGTTTGTAAAATTATTAGTGAACATTAGCAGGCAAATAGGTTTTAAAAACATTTCCTATCTATATTTGTTATTTTAGGGCAGCAGTGATTGGAAGACCTTTGTTCCTTAGAAAGATAATTTCTTGTAATTCAGTAAGTTTGTGTTTCTTAATGCTTTGTTTCTAGTTTATGGCAACACACAGTCCAAGAACCATTATATGATTGTTTCTGAGATTATTAATCCAGTCAGGAGCCTTTAGAGACCTCATTTATCTCTCAGTGTTCAGTCTTACTATGGGATAGCATCAAAACACATCAGTGTGCTGAAATGCATTTGAAAAGTCTGTCTAACCCACGTTAATAAAAAGCCCTCCTCATTCCTGCTGTGTTTTATTTAAAATTATTTTGGATCAGCCAAGTTCGTGCTGATTTTTTTTTTTTTTTTTAAATCATCTACTACACGTATGTTCTTGTGTCTCTCTGAAAAGGTTGGTAGATGCCAACACACGAATGCTTCATCTGCCTATCTGGCTCAGGGAGGGGATCCACCAGTGGCTCAACTACAGGGCACCCACGGCTGGTTGGGATGCATTTGGCATGAGAGCTAGCATCGGGTCGAACACTGTTCAGGGCATTTAAGGACATCTTGAGAATGCCTTGTTACTAGGATCATGACGCCCCTGACCTCCTTGCCAGGGACTAAGAAGCCTGCTAGGCTCCTTCCCCTCCGGCCTCAGCGGGGCCAGGCGCCGAGTTACTGCCCACGCGAGAGGCGATGACCGCAACAAATGGCTCCCGCCTGCTCCGCCCCCTCACAGCACCACCGCGCCTTCCTCGCGGCCGGGCGCGCCGTGGGCGGGAGCTCACGGCTCACAGCGCGGGGTGAGCGGCGGCTGCCTGTGCCTTTAAGGAACCTCCCGGAGGACGCGAGCGCCTGGGGGGGCACGCAGGGCAGGCACGGCCGGCCTCCCTGGGGACACTGCCCGGAAAAGGCGCGACTCCCCCGGGAGCGAGGGAGGGAGGGGGAGGCGGCCGAACGCGCCCCCCGCGCCTCTCCAGCCTCTGCCCTCAGCCAGGGCTCGCGCCGCCAGCCGCCCTTCTCGCGAGAGCTCCCAACGCCCCAGGAGTGCGGTTGTCCCGCCCTCCCCCTTCGTTGCCAAGCGACCAGAACCCCGCCCCCCCCTCCCCGTTGCGGCGGTCGGGGCGCGGCGCGCAGTCGCAGTGGTGGCTCATGCTGTAGGAGGGCTGCGCGCGGGGCTCGGCCGGGAGCTGGGGAGATGTCGCGCTACGGGCGTTACGGTATGGAGGGGAACAGGACGGAGCGTTGGCGGAGGAGGGGGCGCAGCGTCTTCGGCGGCGCGCCGAGGGTGGGAGATGGCCGGCTGGGAGAGGCGAGGGCGCCGGGGAGAGGGATGCTGGGGGAAAAGGAGGTGCTGGGGGGAAAGGAGGTGCTGTGGCCGTGAGTCTGGCGAAGAGTGGGGCCTGCTGAGGGGGTGAGCGGGGGCGGGGGGGAGGGGAGGTGCGGTACCGGCGGGAGCGCAGCAAAATGGCGGCGCCATCAAAGATGGCGGCGGGGGGGGGGGGGGAGGGGCGGTGGCGGTTGCGGCGCGCGCGCGGGCGGCCGCTGCTTGGGGCCGGGCAGCGGGCTCTGACATGGCGGCCCTCCCGGCAGAGACCAAGGTGTACGTGGGGAACCTGGGCACGGGCGCGGGCAAAGGCGAGCTGGAGAGAGCCTTCAGCTACTACGGGCCCCTGAGAACGGTGTGGATCGCGAGGAACCCGCCGGGGTTTGCCTTCGTGGAGTTTGAAGACCCGAGGGATGCTGAAGATGCTGTGCTCGGCCTCGATGGGAAGTATGTGCATGTCTAAAAACTCCTTGACTGCTCTGGTTGCAGTTTCTGACCTCAGCCCACACTGATCATTGATATCTGTGCTGTGTGTCATGAGCGCAGGGGGAAAAAATGATGAATATATGCTCTGTATTGTAGGATAATATGTGGCTCCAGGGTTAGAGTGGAAGTGTCAACAGGGATGCCTCGTCGCTCCCGTTACGACAGGCCTCCTGCACGGCGCCCCTTTGACCCTAATGACAGATGCTATGAGTGTGGTGAGAAAGGCCACTATGCCTATGATTGTCACCGCTATAGTCGCCGAAGGAGGAGCAGGTATGTGTGGGGCCAGAATGGCTGGCTTGCTTCACCAGTTCACTTATGTGTAGCTCTTACACCAGTTTTAACTCTTAATGTTGTAAGTCAACAGGTGTATATCACATTTTTTTTTTGCTAATACATATCAAATGTTAATATCTTAATAATCAACCTGGTCAAAACCTTTCAGGTTTCTTCGTTTGAGTCAGTCGCCTTGATTCAGAATGTCACGAGCCTTAAGATTTCATGCTGAGGCGCCTTGCAAATCCGACACTTAAGATCCTCCTAGACCTTGAGGTGATCAGCATAAGAGGCCAGATCCCCTCGAGCCATCTACACGTAGCTTCACCTTATTCTTTAAGGGCAGAAAATTTGAGACGGTGATCGCCATAACAGTAAATTTGGCTTTCAATTGGGGCCCCCCTCCGGTTTAGAAAGAGGAACACCAGATTGACCACATTCCCACCTAGAAAAATCTTCTTGCGTCAATCAAGCCTCACCCTGGCTCATTGGGCTGTCAGTTTGATCGTCGTTAGATTGAAGAGAACACCTAGATGCAGCGATCGGCTATAGATACTTCTAGATCGTCTAGATCTGCTAGACCTTGGGCCAAAGAGGGTCGACCTGCAAACTTGCAAGGTTTATTTTAAATACGCATTACAGTGTTTTCTATTCTAATGTAATTCTGCAATGTAATTCAGCTTTTAACATTTTTCTAGGTAGTAAAATGCTCAAGGCAAGTAGGCCCAGAGATTTTTCCAGCTGACAGATGCTAGTGGTGTGTTTTTGTTGGTTTGGTTTGGTTTTGTTTTGTTTTGTTTTTTTTTTCTTTTAAGTTGTCTGAAATCAGTTTTGACTTCAGCAGGGCCTCACGTGCACTGATTGCTGCAGCTGTTTCCTGATACCTGTTTTCTCTAACCTAAAACCAGGTCCCGGTCTAGATCCCGTTCAAGGTCCCGAGGAAGAAGGTATTCTCGGTCACGCAGTCGGAGTCGCGGTAGAAGGTAGGTTTCTTGTTAGGAGGTAGGTTGTGGTCTCATTCTTTATTTTTTACTCCTCCCTCTCTCTGCTCCATCCCCTTCTGTATTCCTTGTGAAAAGTACTTTGCAGTAATTTTGGTTGTTTCTTTCCCTTTGTTCTGTAGATCAAGGTCAGCTTCCTACCGCAGGTCCAGGTCAATCTCTCCTCGTAGGTATAGATCATTTTCACCCCGCAGATCTCGGTCTGGTTCCTTAAGAAGGTCAAGGTATGTGTCTTCTATGAAGCTCACAATATTGTTGAAGGAAACATAACTGTTGGAGTTTATATTTTTCAATCTGTGTGTTTGCAAGGAGCTTTCATGGTACTACATCCCTGAGTGCTAATCTGAAAGCTTTCTTTGAAGTTAAAAACTTAAGCATGTAATTTTGGAACTGCTGTTCCTGACTCTTTTTGTACTGTACTGAGGTTACAGCCTTGATCTTTAGTTAAGGTTTCCTACTTGATTTTCAAGGATACAGGGAGTAATTAGGCTTAGGCAGTTAGTGCAGTGAGATTTCTTATTTAGATGTCAGCAGTGTAGTAGTGTTTGAGCTTTCACTGCTTTTTTTTCTAGATCTAGGTCCAGATCACGTTCAAGGTCCCGGTCTGTTGTATGGCCTCGAAGCAGGTAAGATACTTGTTTTAATTCAAACCAACAATAGCTTTGGCTTTTGTTTTTGTTTGTGTCGTGTTTTTTTTTTTTTTGTGTGTGTGTTGTTTGTTTGTTTGTGTTTTGTTTTGTTTTATTCCCCAGGGGAGTTTTGCTGGAAGAGGTTAGAACGTTGTGCAGCATAGCAATATTTGCACTTAACATTAATAATTTATGCCTTTTCACCAACTAAAGTAGTTCTTTATTTCTTGTAATAAACATGAGTTTGTTTTGGTCTGTGGCTACTGTATGTAGTCTATGTATACGTAGCCATAAAGAAGGCAGATAAATATGATTTAAGGTCTGTGGAGGGAAGTTTTTGAAACTAGTTAGTGTCTGTAAATGTAGATAATGCTTGACCCTGTGTCCTGCAGTAACTGCTGCTTAGATTTTTCTTGACATGTTTTTTTTTGTAAATCCCAAATGCTGGGGGGAGAGGGTTGTCACTATTGACTGAACTGTTGCATACAGCTTTTTAGCTTTGCCTGTTCCAGTTCTGAGAGTTAAATTAAATTAAATTGACATTAAATTGCTGTAGTACTAAGAACTACATTACATGTGGTGGGATGCTTGACTTCAGAGGTATGGAGAGCTGAATGAACAGGACCATGAGTCAGTGCCACAGGTAGTGTTTTGAAGGACTTCTCTGACGTAGCTGTGTTTTGTGGACCTGGATGTTTTTTGTGCTGAAATGAAAGTTGAGGAAAATGGGTGTAGAATAAATGTTGCTGCATTATTTTTCTCTATCCTTTGTAATAAGTTTTAGTTGGAAGAGGGGTGAAAGAGTAGGGTAAAAATGTGATCAAAGTGAGAACTGATAAGTTGGAAGAAGTTGTCTTTGTTTTGCATTAGAAGGGGGAAGAGAAATGTTTCGTAGTGGTCTGCCTGCTACTTTACAACTTGCACTTTGAGCCTTTAACGGGATCATGATGGTTATTACTACGGCTGTCCTGACTTACACAGGCCTGTGATGCAGAAGGCTATCCAGGCTCAAACTGCTGCTACTGTGGATGTGTCTGGATACTGCTGATGTTGCTCGGTGACTTCTAGTTCTGGGACAGTCATCTTTCTACATGAAAGACTAGATACTCGTATTGAAATTTCTGAGGAACGCTGACTTTGCATAGCTCTGGAGTTGCAGTGGTGAGAAGTGGTAGTTCAAGACTGGAGTTATTGGAAGCATTGTGAAAATTCCAGCCAGTGCTGATCTCTGCTAAGGCAGCAAAACACTAGTATGGAACTAGTGCTGCTTCCAGAGCTTTTGATCTGCAGTCCTGCAAGGAGGACTTGCCAGCAGTTTCTGTAGTAAGATGATGCTCTTGTGTGCTGCCTTACTGTATTTCTTAGTAAAGGAAGTCACGCTCATGCTACAAAAATACATTTTCTGGGTAGTTGTAAGCATCTCCACCCTGTAACTATGATACAGTAAGAAAATTACCAGTTACAGTGTTAGGAACTGTGGCAGGTGATGGCTCAGCATAGTGACCAGGAAGGTTTCAAAGCAATGGCATGTAACTCTAACTCATGCCAACGCTGTCTATGTAGTATTTCTACAAGTTAATAGGCCAGGTAAAGGTGAATCTTGATTACTGTTTAAAACCAGTTCTGAGCAGAAATAGAATAAAAGTTTCTTACTTTTTTGGCCGAGTCTGTTGAACAACTGAGGACTTTGAACATTGGACTTTCTGATGTTCAGTAATACCGCATGCCTGAATTCTGGCACTCTAGGAGGATGAATTCTAAATAACAGCAAATGATTGTTTTGGTAAAGGAACACGATAAATGTGGGAGAAAGTCTCACTGAGTTGACTTTAATTCATAAGATGAACTGGGAATGGTTTACACATTAGTAGCCAGGTACCAGAGGAAACTTAAATGCTGTTTTCATGGGATAACAGTTATATTATACTTGAATAAAAGTGGTACTGGGAACTTGATCTGAAGAATGCATCAGCTGTTCAGCACACATGGCTTACCTGTGGCTGATTTGAGGCTCTTAATGTGCTATTAGAAGACTTGCTAAGATGACCCTCGGAACTATTCTTCCCTTCATGGAAGGTGGGGAGAAAGACTGGGAGCCTGGTACAAGGTCTTCTGTTTTGTGGAAGTGGTAGCTGAAGCTTTGCTGGGAAGCTTTTTGTGCTTGTATTCTTGTCTTCTGATAACTGGGCTCTCTGGAATTAAAAGCTAAAGGATACTTCTGAAATGTCATGAGAAAAGCCTGCAGCATCAGAGCCTTCCTTTCTGGTCTGTGATGCTACGTAGTACGAATTTGCTGTTGCTGATTTAGCTAACTTTAGTTATATGTGCATGCCATGGGCTGCTTTGCTGAGCTTTATTTTTCTCCTGTTGTAGGTCTGGGTCCCATGGTAGATCTAAATCTGGCTTACCTGCTAAAAGGTGAGCAAATAAATACAAGTGGTACTCAGTATGATTTTTTTTTTTTTGAGTCATGATTCAAAATCTCTGCTTGAACCAATATTTCAGTTGCATGTGGAAGAAGTGTGTGTTGTTTTTTTTTTTTTATAAAGCCTGTTTAAAAATACTTTTCATACATTATGTTAATGTGTTTTTTTAATGGCTGATTTTTGTGGGACAGTAGGCAATTATTCCAGAAGAATTGTGGATACTGTTTTTTTTTGTTTAACCCATGATTGTGACAAAAAGTATTTCTGGCAGGATTTGGGGCGTATGGCGTATCTTTCTCTACCTTTGTTCTCAGTGGTAGTTCTCAGCCTTCCTGACTCTCCTGTACTTGATTCACTGCTCCTGCTTTGCAGGATTACTGTGATCATTTTATAGCTGCTTTGAAGCTGTGTCGCTCTTTTCCATGAGGCTCTGGCTTTCAGCAGTTTTCTTTCTCAACTGCAGCTTCTTGCTTGAAGTAATTTGGTATACTTGCTATCAGCAGCATTAAGGGTGGTGTCTTTTAATGTATATAACAACATCAAACTGTTCTTATTGTTTTTAAGTGGTCAAAAGTGGTTACTGAGTGTGTACAAGTTTACCACATTGATTGTTTTGGTTTGTGTGTTGTGTTTTTTTTTTAACAGTCGCTCAAAGTCCAGATCACCATCTCCAAAGAGAAGGTAGAAATATCTTAAAACTGGAGTGTGCTACACTGTTTCATAGAACTAGTGGTTGCTAGAGAAGTTAACTTGTGCAAGGATAAAAGCTTAAAGTTTCTTGCTTAATTTGTGAACTGTGAAAAGATGAATTGTTATGGGTACTTCCTGTTACGAAAAGATGATGTTTTATAGTCACTTCTTAGCTCGTAGTCAGAACTTAGTAATTCTAAGGTAACATTTAATGAAATTTTAAAGAACAGCAGAAAATGTGGACAAATGATAATCAACCATCCTGAAATTCTTGAGGAATTTAGAATCTGTGAAAGAAATGAGTAATGTAAGGTATGGAGCAAACCATGGAAACAAATTCCTGTTGGTGGCTCCTCCCATCTGGCTCTCACTCGGTTGCCCAGCTGCCAAGTTTTGCTGTGCACTGTGAAGTAAGAAGCAAATATTCCCATGTAACCGGGGAACAGTAAGATGAGATTTACATAGTTTGTGATAGTGCCCTAAACAGGAACCGTGTAGGTCATGGCAGAATAAGAATTCCCCTGCACAGGTGAAGCACAGGCTCCCAAGTGCTTTCTGAGAAGGCTGTCTTGCCTCTTTGTTACAGCTTATGTCTTTGGTTATTTTGCCTGCCCTTTTCAAGTTAAAGCAGTTGGTTACTTAGAAAGGTGTAAAATAAAACATTTCTCATTATTGATGAACTGTAAATGAAAAAAGTGTGGGGGGGAGGGCTCCTGAGCAGAGAAAATCTGGGGTAGCATGTAGAGTTTCTGTTGCTTTTGCTGTGGAAGTTGCTCTTAATCTCTTTCTTTCTCTTTCAGTCACTCACCATCAGGAAGCCCTTGAAGGAGTGCAAGTCCTGAAAGAACGGATTAAAATTCAAAAAGTTTAAGAAGAAAATTTATTTTGTTTACATTATTATAAGGGATTTTGTGGTGTCTTTATAAATGTAAGGGCTTAGTCCTAGAAGGCTGTTTCTACCAACTAACAATTGGCACGAATCTGGATCTTTTAAAAGTCTTACTAGTAGACTAATGCAAAACTTTTGTGTTAATGTTGTGACCTAGAAATGTTGGGCTTTTTTTATTGGCACGTTGAAATAAACTGTGCATTTCTAACTAAGAAATACTTTGTGATAACTCTTGCTGTTTCTGTTAATATTTGGGTAGCTGAAGCAGGTCGTGTGCCACTGTGGTGAAAAGCAGGAGTTTACTCACACTTGTAAACTGAGTGTAGTGCAGCAGCCAGTGGCTGTCCCGCAGGGGTGCGCCTGTTGGAGGGCTTCACTCTGCCAGAGCACAGAGGGAAGAGTTACCAGTACCAGCTGTCATTCTTACTGTTTGGTCTCGAATGTCACCGTGATCTGTACCTTGTGTTTTTATTTGCACCTCCTCAAAGCTCAGTGAAGCAGGAAACCTGTCTGGAGGGGCTTGTACACTTGATGATTTGACTTGGAAAAATGTCTACAAAGGGCAGTAACAGATGGGAAAAACAAGGAATATGTGTGAGCACTGATTAAGGACCAGTGAACTTCTCACCCGAAGGTATTTGGAATACTTCTGGCATGTTAAACTACTGAAGTAAATATTTTTAGAAATCTCGTTTTACGTCCTCATGGTCCAAATGGTAGTATTTCTTTGTGATACATACAATAGATTGGCTGTTCTGGTGCAGAAGGTAATATATTTAGATAGTCTTTTTACAAAATGAAGGCTTTTCTTACAGATTGATGGTCACAAGCAGAACCTGCAGGTCATGTTTTAAGTAGCAGTACATTTAGGTGTAACATGAGTTGTTGATTCCCCACCTGACCTGATTTGCCAGGTCACAGCCTTTCCCTTGGCAGTAAAGTGTAACCAAGGGACTCGCTGCTGTCCTGATCAGTTCTTGGTTTGGGAAACCAGACTGTAGCTGCCTGTAGGCAGATGGTCTCCATCTCACCACAGATAGATTACTGAAAGATTTAATGTAAGTATGGTAAAAAGGTATTTGCCAGTTTGTTTGCAGCTGGTAATGGCTATTAAGAGACTAGTAAGGAAATCAAAGTGCCAGATGATTTTGACTTTGCCTTCCTTGCAGTATGTTCTGGCCGCTATTGCGAAGTCTTGCAGGCCTGTGAGGAGCAATAATTCCCTAGGGGCTCCTAATTTGTCAGCAGTGGGTTGATACTTGACTGTTAGAGCAGAGCACTGCAGCTGTGCCTAGGCACACAATCCCAGGTTTTCAGATGAACTTTGGTCATTGTTGCTTTACAGGGTGTCCAGGTATTAAAATGATAACAGCCCCTATACGTGACTTCACAAAGACTTCCCGTGGTCTACAGCATCTGTGTATCTCATCCCTCCTCTCTCTTTTCTCTGTTTGTACATTTTAGTGTATTGGTGCTTCGGATAAGTGACTTTACTTACAGCATCATGAGCAAGGAATATTTTGTTGTAACTGTAGTCCCTTAGAAGCTGCAGAAGAGGGAGCTGGAAGCAACAGCATTAAACGAGGGTGACCCAAAAGCAATTGCTAAATGCAGCTGGGCGGGAAGGAGTATTTATTGGGTTCCCTTCCCCCTGCAACTCTGCTGATGACAGCATCAATAGTAAAATTACTTCATGCAACAGTGCTTTTAAAGGGGAGGCGGCTTTTTCTTTCTTTCCCTCTGTACTGCTGAAGCAAGCTGACTCCACAATAAACCTGTAGACTACAACTCTTCTAGTGCTACCTTTCTTTTTCAGTCTTTCCACTCAGAGTATTACAAGAAGGGGACAGGTTGGGGCTCTATCCCCGTGTTGAGGGGCATAGGAAGAGGACAGCTGGCAGGAGGGGTCCTGGGGGCAAGCCTTGGGCAGTAGCAGGAGGGAGGCAGCTCCTGGGGAGGAGGTTGGAGAAGGAACCCCCCGCTTCAGCTGCTGCTGGAGGTGGCTCTTCTCATCCCTCCCAAGGAGGCTGATGGCCATCAGTAACAGTGCTGCCACCGAGTTCAGTGCTGTTCAGCTGCAGTTAACGTGCATCTCATTCTCTTGTTAGAAACTCCTCTCTCAAAGGCAATTCCAGCTGTACTGGGGAAGGCTTGCCCGGTGCTGCTGGGGAGCACAGATCAGCCAGGCTCTGCCTCTGCCGGGCACCTGCAGGCTGGGCTGGCTTACCTGTCTCGGGCAGTTTTTGGTAGTAGTGATGTCTGCTCGCAAGGGGAAATGGAGCTGTTACAGGGACTGGACAGGCCCGCTGAAGGAACCGCTCTGCCAGGTTAGCGCACACGCCGTTCCCAGGCAGTCAGTCTGCCGTGGCAGGGAATGGGGCACCTGCACAGAAACCCTCCGCACTAACCGCTGGCACCACAGCCCAGGCCCCGAGCTGCGAGGGGGGTGCTGACACTGCTGTAGCTGCTGTCCTCTTTGGATTGCATCTCCTGATCTGTGCTTTGTTCCCTTCCCAGACTTGCCCAGTCTGCCACCAAGACAAGGCATGAGGCTGTCTCACAAGTCTTCCCTCCAGCAGGGTGGATGCTGCTAATTACCACCTGCTACAGCATCAGCTCTCCTTGCCCTTGCCTTCACTTCGGGACAGCTCAGGTGGAATTTAGCATGTACCTGGGGCGGGGGGTGTGTGGGGGTGTGTCACACAGACCCTGCTTGAGCACCGTTTTCCATCCAAAACACAGCATTCCCTGCTGGTCGAGAAGTCATTTCTTCAAGAGGACACACCACTTTGAAAATGGGGAAGTCTGAGGTGAAAAAGGGAATCTGTTCCTCTTTTACTCCACATCCCCCCCAAAGAGAAACAGTTTGCTCACCCTTGCTGGCACAGCTGCAACACCAGGTTTAAGTCACACAGAGCTAAGGGCTGACAGCATACGGTATGCCTCTGCTCTGTTTTAATACCCCCCACCCCCAGAATTCCTAGGCTGCCTTAACGGCTCTTCACTAGACCTCTGAGAAAAAAACCCACTTACAGCAGTATGGTGCTGCTGTTGACCAACAGTTCAGCCTTCTGCAGTTCACCGTGCCTGCAGAGAGTATTCTGCTGCACTGTTAGGCTGGTCTTAGTATTCCTGTCTTTATGCAAGGGTGTGTTGCTGTGGGGCTGCTTCTACAAATATTCAGGTGCGTTTTTGGACCCCCACTGCTGTGCTTCCCTCTGCTCATCATTCCTCAGCCTGAAGGCTCTTTCTAGGCAGGGCAGGTGGTAGAGATGGTGTTTACTCTGGTTTTACTATTACAGAGGACAGCAAAGTTAGTTCACTCAAGGCCCTTGCTATTTACAATTGCTAGTTCCTCAAGCAGCTCAGCTGTAGCAACGCTCAGCACTGCATTTAAGCAGTGTGGAAGGGAAGAAGTAAATTGACTGCACTATCTCGCCACTCTCTTGTAGCAGGCCGCTCCCCCAAGCAGGAGGTTGGCTATAAGCTTCCAAGAGTGGGACTTTTCCAGCTGTGCAGGGTGGAGGAAGACTACCACTGATCTGAGGAGGTTAACAGTGAACAATACCATCCACCCAAGGATCCATTTTTAATGCACTACAGCAGCCCAGCTCATCTGTTTTACTTTTTCACGGCCCAGAGCTGACTGGCAAAGCCTGGCTTTAAGGGGATTGTCCACACTCTCCTGGAGTTTACACTGTAACCAGAACAGCCTGCACTGATCCAAGACACGACTCCAACTGCTCTGGCACAGTCTCCTTGCCAGATGACACTCTTTAAATTCATTTCAGAATACCCTGACATGAATCAAAAGGCACTCTCACCTTTTTAAGGGCTTTGGGTTGAATTGTAAGCAAATTGATCTCTGGTCAGCTAAGACTGACTACCTCAGTAAAGTCTTGACCAAAATACAGAAGTGTGCTTAAACTAATTTGCGAGCTGCTTATGATGTCACAGGCCGAGTCCAGACATTACGATGAAGCAGCTGAGTAGCCGGTATTGCTCTGACCAGGAAACACTACTGCTAGTATATAGCCTCATGAAAAAACACTTTTACTTTCTTACTTGGAGGTCTCTGTTCCTCCTGGGAGATTTGCCATTTTTGCCATTTCCCAGAGTCTACTGTAAGCCACCTTAATTTCAACATGCAAGCTTCTCTGCAAACAAAGGACAAACCACCCCAAAAATCTGTTGCCAACTTGGTCTTGCAGAGATCAGCACCACGGTTTGGGACAACAAACACAAGACCCCGATGTTACTTGGTCTGTTCCCAGGCAGTAGCAAACCACGAGTCTTTACAGAAAGCTGTTCTTGCATTACTGCGTGGTCACAAGCTTTACAATCATACTGATGATCCGAGATCCACGGGGGCACATGCATAAATCCATGCTGGGATTCTTGATTTTATCCTGCAGCAGCTGGTCTAGCTCACAGCGCAGCTCTTTCACCAACTCAGCCACCTAACACGCAGGGGAAAACACAGAGAAGAGCGTATGGCTTGTAAATCGCACCTCCTGCATTCTACACACAAGCACGGCTCCGCAGCACTCCCAGGGTTATCCCTCCTTTTCCTTACCTGGTGAGAGGCAGCCACAAACTGTATCCATCCATCGTCAAGAGAAATGACAAATTCTCCTTTCTGCAGCTGCATGTGAACCTGCCCGCCCCCGAGCAGCACCAGCGGGTATACCGACACCATGCTGCAGTCTCGGATGAACACGCGGCTGGTCTTGATTTTCTCGTGGTACACCAGGTAGGGGCTCTCAAAGTGCCTAGTCTGGAACATGTAGACAACATCCGTGTTAAAGTGCCACATCTCCTCCTCCCTGCTCCGGCAAACGTGGACCTGCCTGCCCCCTCCGCAGAGGCCTCCCCTGGCTCTTCTACAGTGGCAAATGTGCCTAAAATGCACCTGGGTGACTAACAGGCTCCGACCCCTAAGCGCTGCCAATAACACTGCCAGTTAGCCCTTGCTCCTTCCCGCTTTGCAGTGAGCAGGTGAGAAATGAGCTGGTTCATCTGTTGATGAACTGGGGCCTCAAGGCTCCGAGTTCTCCATTTCACGCTTAAGGACATTTTCATGTGTGTGTTTGTTACGCTCTTTCAAAGCAAGAGTGGTGAACAGTTCAAAGCCTCTGTGACCCAAATACGTGGTTAATGATTAACAAAACACTTTGTAAAGTCAAATCATTTGTATCTTGGAAAAACAATGAATC